TATCTAAGAGACTTGGTTTACATTAGGGTGGCAGAAGGTATTTTAAGATTACTTCTTAGAGCCAGGCGGTGGTGGCACACACTTTTAATCCCAGCACTCGGGAAACAGAGGCAGATGGATTTCTGCGAATTTTAGGCTAGCCTTGTCTATATATCAAGTTCCAGTTGGGGTTACACAATGAGACCTTGTCTCAAAAAAATTGTGCTAAAATCTTCACATCCAAAATTTTCTGCTGAGGCCACTTTAAGTGTCTTGCTCGGCAGTACAAAGTAACCGGCCGTGTTGTGTAAGCATTGTCTTGGTTTCCAGAACCTTTGCACCAGGCAGCAGAGGGTGTACTCAGTAAATAATCGCTCCCGGTTCTCTCCGGAGAGCCTGCTGACCTTTAGTCTACTTTCTGTCCCTCTGTTGATCTATCCTAAATACCTCATAGAAATAGAAAGACAGGGAGAGCCAGGCGGTGGTGGTGCACACCTTTAATCCCAGCACTCAGGGGGCAGAGGCTGTCAGATCTCTGTGAGTTCGAGGCCAGCCTGGTCCACAAGAGCTAGTTCCAGGACAGGCTCCAAAGCTACAGAGAAACGCTGTCTCGAAAAAAATCACAAAAAAATTATTTATTTTATGTGTATTGGTGTTTTGCCTGCATGTATGTGTGAGGGTGTCAGATCTTGGAATTACAGGCAGTTGTGAGCTGTCATGTGGGTGCTGGGAATTGAATCTGGGTCCTCTGGAAGACCAGTCGGTGCTCTTAACCACTGAGCCATTTCTCCAACCCCCGAAATATTTTATTTTTAATGTGGGGGGGGGGTTGTGCATGTGAATGCAGATACCCGCTGCGATCATGAGCATCTGGTCCCCTGCAGCCAGTGATGCAGGTGTCTGTGAGCCTCCTGTCATGGATGCTAGGAGCCTATTGAGTCCTCTACATACTTTTAACCACAAAGCCATCTCTCCAACCCCTAAAATATGTTTTATGTGAGCTGCTTATAGTTCTAAGTATATTTCTACTCCCTTCGAACCAACCCAAAACATAAATCCACATACTGAATGAAGGTTAATAGGAGTTAATTTTAAAAACTTTATGTATTGCCGGGCGGTGGTGGCACACGCCTTTAATCCCAGCACTCGGGAGGCAGAGGCAGGCGGATCTCTGTGATTTCGAGGCCAGCCTGGTCTATAAGAGCTAGTTCCAGGACAGGAACCAAAAAAGCTACAGAGAAACCCTGTCTCGAAAATCCAAAAAAATGAAAAAAAAACTTTATGTATTTGATGTGTGTATATGAATGTGTATGAGTATATGCCTGCCATGACATGAGAAGACAGGTTATTTATCTTTAAAAGATTACATCCATTTTAGTGTGTGTGTGTGTGTTTGTGTATGTGTGTGTATGTGTGTATCTGAGTTCATCTTGACGGCTCTGAGAAGACAAGGTTAACACTAAGCAGGAGTGTTTCTCTTTCTTTCTTTCTTTCTTTCTTCCTTTTTATTTTTTCTTTTTTAGTTTGTTTTTTGAGATAGGGTTTCTGTGTGTAATAGCTCTGTCTGTCCTGAAACTCTCTTTGTAGAACAAACAGGCTGGCCTCGAACTCACAGAGATCCTCCTGCCTCTACCTCCCGAGTGCTGGGATTAAAGGCGTGCACCTCCACCATCACCCAGCAGTATTTCCTCTTCCTTATTTTCGGAAGATCAGCAACTGCTAGCGACCCTCACTGATCCCTTGTAAACAGCCATGGGAGAACTTGGGTTCAGCCACTGCTCTTGAGGGCTTTTCCTGCTTCCTGTCCATCAGACCACAGGCTGAATGCTTCACGTTAGTTTCAAACTCATACCCCATTTTACATGCTCGAAGCTGGAGCTCAGAACCCCAGAACCTCAGAACTAAAGTAGTTTAAAGCTTTTTTTTTTTCCCTCAAATACGGGTCTCATGTGTCCCAGGCTGGCCTCCCACTAGCTAGGTAGCCGTGGATGACTTCGAACTTCTGATCCACCTGCTTCTATCTCCATAGTGCTAGGGAGTCCTAAGTTACAGACCTGTATAACCACACCAGGTGATTGCGGTGCTGGGGATAAACCTGGGGCTTTGTTCATAAAAGACAAGCACTCTACCAAATTAGTTTACATTGCTAGTCCTTAGAATAGAATAGTTAAAAGCAAACACACAAACCCCTCTGAATCAGTGTTCAGCCCTGTCTGGTCTAAGTTCTATTCTTAGTGTATGATAACATCAGGCATGGGAGCCTGTGGCTAGCATCCTGAACACTGACCTGGAAAGACTATCAAGTCTAGGAAACAGTATCACAAAGGGCAGAAGTGTATTATGTAAGTTAATCTGGCTGGCCCAGAGTGACTTAAAAAATATGGGATGGGGACATAGCTCTGTGGCAGATCAGCTGCTTGTGCACAAATAAAGCCCTGGCTTCCATCCCCAGCACCACAGGAAAGAAAAACAAAATATTATTACAAGAAAATAAAAACTTTGTTTTGAGAACTCAAGTTAGCATGGGAAAAAGCAGGAGTAGAGCCGGGACTATGTGAGAGAGGATGGCTGGCTATGAGCCGGGTCGGGGTCCCTGTCTGTACTTGGAAGGGTTTTAGTTGTTTCGCTTCAGTAATACTTAGATCCCCCTAAGGGAGAAGGCTAATTTGAGCCCAGTATGGTGGGGGATGTCTGCAAACCCAGCACATGGGAAGACGAGGCAGGAGGATTACTACTTTAAGGCTACGTGGGCTTTATCTCCAGATAAAGATTCTATCTCAAACAGAGCCAAATCAAAACAAAACAAAATCATGAAAGTTAGGTGTGGTGGCACATAGCTGTAACAGCCTTCAGGAGACTGAGGCAGGAGAGTACTGCGAGTTCAAAGCCAGCCTGAGCTACACAATGAGTTTCTAGCTAACCTGAACTAGAGCATGAGACTCTTTCTCAAAAATAAAAGAGGAAGAGAGAGAGAGAGAGAGAGAGAGAGAGAGAGAGAGATCTAACTTGAAGCCAGCTGCTTCAGGCCAGCATAGAAAAACGGAGAGAATATTTGGGGAGATAGGATGGAGAGTGTTCTCCATGTCTGACCTGAATACCTTGCTGTCTCCCAGGGAAATGCTCCGCTGGGCCCTCTTCAGCATGCAGGCCACAGGCCACATGCTGCTTGGCACCTCCAGCTACATGCAGCAGTTCCTGGATGCCACTGAGGAGGAACAGCCTTCCAAGACCAAGACCCCCTCCCTCCTCCCCGCCTGTCTGAAGATGCTGCAGTGAAGACCCAAGTCCTCAGAGGCCTCTCCAGCCAATGACTGGGGGCCCCGCACTCTGCTAGAAGCATCCGCAAGCCTGGTATCTGGAGAGCTTCTCACCCACCAGCACCTCGCTCACAGCACAACAGGAAGGGCTGGACCCTGGGTGTCTGGTCACAGGAGAACTTCCTGGCCTGACCCAATTCCTACCTTCCTGTCTCAGGTAGCTTAGGGGACCAGCATGCGTCCCTGGCACAAAGTGTGCCACCTTGTCTTCACATGCCGCCCCTACTCACCACTCCCTCTCTGGTGTCCCCTTCTGCCTTGACCATGCTCACCATGCAGCAGACATTGCTATGGTGGCCTCCAGAATACTTTGACCTCAATCAAGACAACAAAATGAACAGAACACCACAGTGACAACGAGGCCTGTGGTTATGGTACAGGAAGGAGAAAAGGAGGGGGATTACCAGGGGGTCCTTTCACCAGGAGTCCCAGCCATCACTCCCTCCTGCCCTGCAGGTGCACATGGCCTTGGGGGGTTGCTAGAGTTTGTAAGAAGTAGAAGGTTAACTAAAGCCAGGATGACATTGATACAGATTTTAGGAGGACCTTATCTGTGTGAGGGAGGGACTTTGGGGTCATGCAGATGGTTTTGAGTCACCCAGGCCCCTCCTGTAAGAACCTAGTAAATTCACCGGTTCACCAAGCCGGACTTGGATGGAATCGGGGCTTCGTCTGTCATGTGATAGAGATTGTGTTCCCCAGGGAAAGTCCCACAATTACTCCTCTTGTTCTCATTCCCCACTACTATGTATGCTATTAGAGTCTAAAGTAAATTATTTATGCTGAAACTTCATCTTTGCCTGTGTTCTTTGTGTGAAACCATTTGCCAAGAAGTACAGCATTTATCATTATTGGTGCACGTGTGTGTGTGTGTGTGTGTGTGTGTGTGTGTGTGTGTGCACACGCATGTGTGCATGCGTGTGTGCTGGTATGCTACTACCATGGTGCAGGTGTGGAGGTCAGAGGTCAACTTTCATTCCACTCTGGGTCCCAGGGACTGAACTCAGGTTGTCTGGCTTGTACAGCAATTGCTTTTATAGGATGACTGTATCAGTGGCCCTGTTTGCTCTTCTAGATACAGAGTCTCATGTAACCCAGGCTGGCTCCCAATGTGTTATGTGTGGAGGAGGACCCTGAGCTTCTGATTCACTTGCTTCCACCTCCCAAGTGATCGCATTACAAGTGTGTGAAGCACCATGTTTAACTTATGCGGCACTGGAGGATTGAACCCAGAACCCAGGGCTTCCAGCAGGCTAGGCAAATGCTCTGCCAACTGCACCACATCCCCAGCCCAGTTCCTTCTTAATACATAAGGTCCTGACACTGTGAGACGCAATAAATAAATAGATAAATGTTAAAATAAAAATCTGCAGTTGGTGTTTGAGGCCTGACATTTGGTGTCTAGGCAGACCATGTAATCCAGGTACGTGCCAGTTTCTGTAAGGTTTGAGGCCTGACATTTGGTGTCTAGGCAGACCATGTAATCCAGGTACGTGCCAGTTTCTGTAAGGTGAATCAAACCACTCTTTTGATTCCCAGTTGTTGTTTTTTATTATTTTTGTTTGTTTGGTTGGTTATTTTTTTTTAAGACTGGGTTTCTCTGTAGCTTTGGAACTTTCCTGGAACTCGCTCTGTAGACCAGGCTGATCTCGAACTCACAGAGATCCACCTGTCTCTGCCTCCGGAGCGCTGGGATTAAAGGCTTGTGCCACCACCGCCGGGTGTATTTTACATGTTCAGGTTGAAGGGTCCTGGTACGTCTACGGGGTGATTTATCAGTGCCTGTGCCAGCTTGCACACAGTTCCCTGTGCATGGTCAACACTTCCACCCTCAGGATTGCAAGATGAGTCTCCAGCCTGCCACAGTGACTGACCCCAGGCACTGCAAAAACAAACCAGAGAGCTCTGAGGAGGAGGAGTCAGGTCTTCTCAGAGTGAGCCCCATTTATGGGCCACAGCTGCTGGAGGGGGATGAAGCTGGAGGAGTAGGTGGCACCCATACCACACTGGCTGTGCTTCAGGGGCTTGTAGGTGCTGGAGAACACACCAAGGTAGCGGCCGATTGTCTGCGGTTTGATTTCCACCTGGTTGAAGGTCTTGACGTTGTACACACCCACCATGCTCCCTACCATCTCAGGCAGGAGGATCGTGTCCCCCAAGTGGGTCTTTACTGGCTTCCCCATGGGTGGCGCCTCCTTCTTGGCCTTTCTTGGGCGCTTGAGTAGCGAGTACCGCTTCCACCACAGGCCATGGTTCAGGCTCCATCTCTGGGGCCTGCATCTGTTGGACTAGAAGTCCAAGCATCAGGGAGGAGTTGCTCCAGACACCACTCACACAGCCACAATTGATGCAAAAGCAAGAGGATTTTTATTCTGTCATGACAGGGCCCTTCAGGTTCGGGATATGAAGGACAACCGATAGCTGTTACAGTTCATCTTTTAAAGCAAAAAGCCACAGACACAAGGGGGGACCTGTAGGTTGTTTTCCAACTTATTGGATTGGCTTATTCAAAGGGTTACTAGCAGTGATTGGTCTATTCCAGGGCAGGAGAATAGCTGCATGATCGGGTGAGATAAGGGAGAGCATCTGTGGTCCATCCTGACTTTGTTCTGGTGACTAAATCAATATATCAGGAACTGAGTCAACATCTGTGGGTTGTATTTGCCTCAATTCCCAGAATGGAGTTATGTTTGAAGATTATTCACAAGAACACAGGAGGATGAGCAGTCCAGCATGTGTGTGTGTGTGTGCGCGCGCGACTGTTCCGTTTCCAAGAGAGAGTGAGTGTAATGTCTTAGGGTTGAGGAGGCTTACAAATGCATTGAGTCTTTCACATCAGCTTGTTCACCAACGATCCAGGGAGTTGGTACACTTCTGCTCCTCTTCAGCCATCTTGGCGACTGCTGGAAAAGAAGACCCCATTTTTCAGTGCCAGGTAACTGACTAGACCTGTAGGAAGCCAGGCTTCAGCCTGGCTCTCAGATCCAAAGCTAATATAATTTCACAATCCTCCCCATAAAGCCTATTTGGATTTAGAAAACACTAAGGCCAAGGGGCCAAGTTACTCAAGCTTGTCTGGAAAGCCGCTGCTGGCAGCTACCTCACGCCTGGAGCCAAATCTGAGAAGAGCAGAGCAGCCAAGGACGCGTCAAGAGCACTTTCTATTTTAGGCCCTCTCATGGTTGTGGACGTGGCTGGAGGCAGGCTGGTTCCTGGGCTTGGCCTTCTGGAGGGCTGCTTTACCTCAATCCTGTTTCCCTTGCTGAAGTGCTAGCCTGTCCACACCTGCTGCAAGGTTGTAACTGAGCCAGAGGGGCTGATGCAAGCTGGTGTTTGTCCCTGGCCTCTTCTCCTGGGCTTGAGTTTCACAAGTTCAGCTGCTGACTAGGGCAGCCACCAGGCACTGAGCCCTCAGCCCAGGCAACGTTTGGCTCCTCCTTTTCTTCCAGGAGCTCAGAGCCCACTGGAATGAAGGTAGCTGTCTGTGGGAAGGGAACAAGAGAGGGCAGTCTGCCATGGGGCATGGGGCAGGGAGGGGGACCTCAAAGAGTAAAGGATCTATAACCTCTGGAGAGCCCGGCAGCGGTCCAAGTGGGGAGACGGCCTTTCCTGGGGCTAGACAGTGTTGGCAGAGGCGACCTCTGCTTAGCTGAGTGGGCCACGAAACAGCCTTTGGCTAGTCTGTCTGTCTGTCTGTCTCCTATTTTAATGAATAAATGAAAATAAAAACACAAAAAACACACATACTTTGTTTTTGTTTTATTTTTGTTTTTCTGTTTTGGGACATATATTGGCATGCACATGCCATAGCACAAGTCAAGAGATCAAAGGACAACTTGTGGGGCTGATTCTCTCCCCCCACCATGCGGATATCGGGGATCAGACTCAGGTGTCAGACTTGGCTTCAGTCCTCCTTCCTGGCTGAGCCATCTCACTGACCCTTATACATAAGTATTTCAGACAGTCTCACATAGCCCAGGCTGACCTCCAGTTTTATGTAGCCAAGGGTGACTGTGGACTCCCAATCCTTCAGCCTCCACCTCTCCAGTGCTGGGATCACAAGCTGTGCACTTTGCCTAGTCTGTCCTAAATCCTTGCTCAAGCTGCTTCTGAGTTACACAGGAGACCTCCCAGGAGGCTTCGGGAATACCCATAGTCTGAGACAGAGTAGTCACACACTCTAAGTGATGTCAGACAAGGTGAAACCACTTGCTTTTTTTTTGTTTTTTGTTTTTTTGTTTTTGTTTTTGTTTTTTTGTTTTTTGAGACAGGGTTTCTCTGTAGCTTTGGAGCCTGTCCTGGAACTAGCTCTGAAGACCAGGCTGGTCTCGAACTCACAGAGATCCGCCTGCCTCTGCCTCCCGAGCGCTGGGATTAAAGGTGTGCGCCACCATCGCCCGGCAACCACTTGCTTTTTTAAATTTCCTTTTTGCCGAGTTTGTCACCCACCAGCCCTTCCTATGTTGTGCATATAGCACAGACCTGTAGACCTGGCTGTCTTGGAACTTGTAGAGTAGGGTGACCTCAAATTCAAGAGATCTGCCTGCCTCTATCTCTTGATCGCTAGGATTAGTGCTGTGTGCTACCATGCCCAGATATATTCTTTTAAAGTTGGTTTTAAAAACATTAATTTTGAAGGCGGGTGATGGTGGCACTCGGGAGGCAGAGGCAGGCAGATTTCTGTGAGTTCGAGGCCAGCATGGTCTATGAGACCTAGTCCCAGGAGTTTGAGTCAAGAATCTAACACACATTGGGCAAGCACTCTACTACCACCGAGTTGTATTCCCAGGCCCAACAATAAGAAATCATTTTTTAAAAAAATCAAGATATAGCAGAAAAAGGTGCTTGCTGTCAAGACAACCTGAATTCAGTCACTAGAACCCATTGGCGAAAGGAGAGAATGGACTCTCAGAAGCTGTCCACTATATATGTACAACAGCACCACCAAGCTCCCCCCCCTCAACAAAAATAACAGATTTAGCCGGGCGGTGGTGGCGCACGCCTTTAATCCCAGCACTCGGGAGGCAGAGGCAGGCGGATCTCTGTGAGTTCGAGACCAGCCTGGTCTTCAGAGCTAGTTCCAGGACAGGAACCAAAAGCTATGGAGAAACCCTGTCTCAAAAAATAAAAAAAAAAATAACAGATTTAGGTGTATGCCTGTAACCACAGTACTCAGGAAGCAGAGCCAGGAAAATTGACACACATTTGAGCCAGCCTAGTCTACATAGCAGGTTCCAGTTCAGTTGGGGTTATGTAGTGTGACTCTGTCTCAAAAAACAAAGGCAAGATAGAACCAAAACATCTCAGATTAATCATGCAGGGGTCTGAAGAGATGGCCCAGCAATTGAGAGCACTGCTTCTTTCAGGGAACTGGGTTCCTTTCCCAGCACCCACACAGTGGCTTACAACCACCTATAACTCCAGTTCCAGGGGATCTGATGCCCTGTTCTGGCCTCAGGCCTCAAGCTCACAGGTCATACGTCTGCATACATGCAGACAAAACACTCATGAACAGGAAATTGAAATAAAAAAAGAAGAGATAAATCATACAGGGTCTGGCCACAGAGTTTATCAGAAAAAGGTGCTTGCTGCCAAGTGTAGTTCCCCGGAATCCATATTACAGGAAAGAACTCACTCTTAAAAGTTGTCCTCTGGGAAAGGCAGTGGTGGCACACACCTTTTTCCCAGCACTCAAAAGGCAGAAGAGGCAGTTCTCTGTGAGTTCCAGGCCAGCCAACGCTACACAGTAAGACCCTATCTTGACTAATAGAGGTTGCAATCTATTGGGTGAGGAGGTCATTGTTGGCGGAGACTGCTCGTTCATTTCTGGCTCCACAGACCCGAAATAATCACACAAACTCTATCATTTGCAATACTGTTTGGCCAATAGCTTAAGCATATTTCTAGCTAGCTCTTACATCTTAAATCAACACATTTCTATTAGTTTATATTTTACCACGAGGCTTGTGGTCTACCAGCAAGGTTCCAGCACATCTGTCTCCTGCTGCAGCTACATGGCCTCTCACTGACTCCGCCTTCTTTTCTCCTCCATCTGCTTGGAATTTCTGCTTTGCTCTATTCTGCTAAGCCACTGGCCGAAACAGCTTCTTTATTAACCAATGATAATAAAACATATTCACAGCATACAGAGGGGAATCCCACATCAGGTTGGAGCAGAGTAGCTCATAGCATTATAGATAGGAAATTGATAGAACCAAAATAGAAAGAAGCCAACCTAAGATGTAGCCTCCAAGAAGAGCCACCCACAACAAACTACCCACCTCCTCCAAGTATGCTCCACCTCCCACAGTTCCATCACCTCCCAAGAGCCCGTCCATTCTGACTGGTTCACTCATTCGATAGGTCAGAGTTCTTAGGTTCCAACCGAGCCTGGACGCCTCGTCATAAACCCCATGTGCTGTGCAAGTAGCCTGGGTATTCCTCCTCTCAATCAAGCTACGTCATCACTCCTTCCACATTTGTCTGTTTCAGTTGCTATAACACAACACCTGAAACCAGACTGAGGATGCAGCTCCGTGTTAGAGTGCTTGCCTAGCAAGTGTAGGGCCCTGGATCCATCCGCAGTACTGAAAAAACAAACAAGCCCAAAACTGTGAAAACTGATACTATGTTTAACATACATATGGTGTTGGAGAGACGGTTTGGTGGCGGAGAGCACTTGCTGCTCTTGCAGAGGACCTGAGTTCAGTTCCCAGCACCCACATGAAAGCTCACAACTGCCCAAAACTCCAGCTCTGGAGGATCTGATGCCCTCTTGTAGCCTCTCAGGGCACCTGCAACACATGTGGTATACACTTACACAGATGCACAGGCATTTACACATAAATAAAAATAAAACAAATCATACACACAAGGTTTATCTGGGTCATGGTTCTAGAGGCTGCAGAGTCCACAAGCATGGAGCCAGTATCTACTTAGCATATCCAGGGTGCACCCCAAAACGGAGGAAGCCTTTCCACACTGAGGAAGAGGTTGGTTCTCTTTTCTCTTCTCTCCTTAGAAAATTGTTAGTGCTATTTCGGGAGCAATGCCTTCATAGTCTTTTTCTTCTTCTTCTTTTTTTTTATGAGGGGGAGGGTTGAGAGGGTTTCTCTGTAGCTTTGTAATCTGTCCTGGAACTTGCTCTGTAGACCAGGCTGGCCTTGAACTCACAGAGATCCACCTGCCTCTGCCTCTTGAGTGCTGGGATTAAAGGCAAGTGCCATCAACCCCAGTTTATAATCTTATCTAGTACTAATTACTTCAGCTTCCAAATACCATTATTATGAATTTGAAGATTTACTATCCCAGAACCAGATAAAGCCTCAGCAAAGCACACACAACTTAGGCCGAGTTCTGTGGTGGAGGCAACACCTGCCTCTAAATCAGTGGTTCTCAGCCTTCCTAATGCTGTGACCCTTTAATACAGTTCCTCATGTTGTGGGGACCCCCAGCCAGAAAATTATTTTGCTGCTACTTCATAACCACAATTTTGCTACTATTATGAATCATCATAATGTAAATACCTGTATTTTCCGATGGTCTTAGGTGGCCCTTGTTTGACCCCCCCAAAGGGGTAGTGATCGGCAGGTTGAGAACCAGTGCTCTAAATGGAGGAAGAGAGAGGGATTATTGTACCCCTCTGATTTCTCTGCCAAAAGTAAGTCTAGTGCTGGAGTCTTCAAAAAGCCCTTTCAGGTCTGGGAATGTAACTCAGTAAGAGCCTGCCTCTGCCCCCACACCCGGCCTAGCTTGTTTTTCTTTTGATAGAAGGGCCTAATGTATTCCGGACTGGTCTCCAACTCAGTCTGTATCTGTGATCTTGGTCTTCGTGTGGTGCTGGGGATCGAACCCAGAAACTTGTGCATTCTAGATAATCTCTCTACCATTTGAGGCAGGCTATTTCTATGCAGCTGTCCTGGCAGGAAGGCTGTGGGGCTTCACCTTCCTGTGCTTTACAAGAGTGGTTTTCAGATTAAGGGTCTCGAGAATTAAAACGACAATCTGCAAGCTGGTCTCCTTCTGTTCTAAGAAAAGTCCTCTGCCGGGCGGTGGTGGCGCACACCTTTAATCCCAGCACTCGGGAGGCAGAGGCAGGCGGATCTCTGTGAGTTCGAGACCAGCCTGGTCTACAAGAGCTAGTTCCAGGACAGGCTCCAAAGCTACAGAGAAACCCTGTCTCGAAAAAACCAAAAAAAAAAAAAAAAAGAAAAAGAAAAAAAGAAACGTCCTCTGTCCCGAGTAAACCACCCCGCCTCGTGCCTCGGTCTCTCCCACCTCCCCACCCCCCCAACCCCCCACCCCCCAAAAAAAAGCAGAGCTCAAAACGGCACTTTCCCTTCCTCAGCCCAGGGAAAGCTCAGAGCGTCCCTCTGCTGAGCTCCGCCTGCTCGGTGCTCTGATTGACAGCCTGCCTGACCAATCTGCGCACGGAGGATGCACGTGGTGGGCAGTCCCATGGACACGCATGCGCCTGTGCTTGCTCTGGGGATGGGCGCCTTGCGGGTTTGGCGTTGGATTTCGGAGACCTGGCGGCCGGGGTTCGGGGCTGGCGTACGGCGGAGAGATGCAGGCTTCGGCACCGAGGCCCGGTGATTATAACACTCCACTTCCGTGTAGGAGGGAGGCTAGGACAAGGGAAGAGCAGGTCCGGCATTTAGATCAGAGCATGGGCTCTAATCCCAACTGTGCTGTGTGACCTGACACGAGATCCATGGCGCGCTGAGCATCTGATGCCTTTTCTGTCGTCTTGGGCGCATGTGGACCTCAACTGCCAGCCGAGTCCAGGAGTTCTGAGGCTTTTGTAAGAAAAGGCTGCACTGGGCAGGATGGGCGGAAGAGGTACCGGTTTTTGTCGTGTTTCTCAGGCGTCGGCCTCAACCTCAAGCTTCCAGCAAGAGCAAGGACCCAGTGGAGGACCAGCCCTTCCCGGGGCTTCTGCGGACAGAGAACCTGGGCGTGGAAGAGCTGGTTGACGTGCTGAAGGCAGCTGTGGTAGATCAGAAAGGTGAGGGAGCCTACTGCTCCTGACCCTCCGACCCCCTGGAGTCGGACCCTTGTAGTTGCAGGAGCCCAGCCAGCAGTCACATCCCCTTCTAGCCTAAGTCGGCATCGTGGGGACAGGCATAGGAAACCTTCACACCGCCCCTGCGTTCAGAGACCAGCAGTAACAGCCGTTAGTTTCCTGTCAGAACAAACTTTGGGGTTATAGCTGGGGCCTGTAAGCTGCGTGCTGTGCGCCTTGAGGAATAACAATTTCTCTGAACCTCTCAATTCTTGTAGCAGTGAGGAGGCTACACGGTACTGGGGAAAATATGGCTCCTGGCTTGACAGATCAAGCGTTCTGATGTGAGAAATGATGGATCTCTGCTGTTTCTGGGAGTAGTGATCACACCTGTAATTCTAGATTTGGGCGTTAGAGGCAAGGAGGATCAGGAGTTCAAGACCAGACTTAGTTATGTGAGTTTGAGGCCAGCCTGTTTGAGCCCCTGTCTCAAACCAAACCATCAAGGACTGTGGGAGGGATACACATTATATAAGGGACATGGCAGCCAGTGTGAATGAAAGCCCAGAACAGCAGGTGCAAAGGCCCTGGGGTGCAGGGAGCAGGAAGTTCAGTTTGGAGTGGGATTGGGAGCTTATAACCCCTGAGACTGCATGCACACAGGCTACCCTGCTTTTGGTGACATCTATGGAATGTTTCAGGACCTCTGGTGACACTGAGCAAGCCACAGGGTCTGCCTGTGACAGGTATGGGCACGGGTAAGAAGGGAGAGGTTGGTGGGAAGGAGATGGATGGATGGCGCTCTGGCTACGAGTCCTCTCCCTCTTCTCAGGGAGACCCGGGGAGCTGACGTTGCTTTCTGTGCTGCCGCAGCTGAGCCAAGCCCTGGGGCTTGGACACCAGGAGCTCCAGATTGTGCGAGCACCTGGAAAGTGAGTGCTAACTGCCTGGGGCATTTATTTTACACCCACTGCATATAAAAGTCCTATGCTGGTACTTGGCACACGGTAGACCCTCCAGCATTGGCTCTGAGTTCTGGGGTGGGGGGGGCACAGAAAAGGTCTTATGGGTTGTTTTTTTAGGAGGTGTGGACTGTAGCCCTGGTGTTAAACTGATGTTCCTTTGTTTGTTTGTTTTTTAGACAGGGTTTCTCTGTAAAGCCCTAGCTATCCTAGAAATAATTCTTTTTTTTTTTAATATTTATTTATTATGTATACAGTATTCTATCTGTGTGTATGCCTGCAGGCCAGAAGAGGGCACCAGACCTCATTACAGATGGTTGTGAGCCACCATGTGGTTGCTGGGAATTGAACTCAGGACCTTTGGAAGAGCAGGCAATGCTCTTAACCACTGAGCCATCTCTCCAGCCCCCTAGAAATAATTCTTGTAGACCAAACTGACCTCAAGCTCAGAGAGATCCGCCTGCCTCTGCCTCTCGAGTACTGGGATTAAAGGCGTGTGCCACCACCGCCCAGCTGTAATTTTGTATTTTATGTGCATTGGTGTTTCACCTGCATGTATGTCTGAGGGTCTCAGATTCCCTGAAACTGGAGTTCAGACAGTCATGAGCTGCCATGTGGGTGCTGAGAATTGAACCCGGGTCCTCTGGAAGAGCAGCTAGCATTCTGAATTGCTGAGCCATCTCCCCAGCCCCTTGGAGGTCTCCTTTAAAAAGACCAAAGATTTGTTTTTATGTAGTGTGTGTGTTTAGCCTGCTGGTGTGTCTGTGCACCACAGTGCATGCCTGGTGCCCCAAGAGGCCAGAAGAGGGCATCAGATCTCCTGGAACTGGCATTACAGCAGTTGTAAACCACCATGTGGGTGCCGAATGCAGGTCTCTGCAAGAGCAGCCATCTGACCCTCAGTTTTGAGACCCAGGGGCTTTATGTGACATGTCCCCTTCTTCCAGGGAGGCCTCTGGGCTTGTGCTCCTCTCCGGCTGTCCCCAGACAGCAAGCCGCCTGCAGAAGTTCTTCGCTCACTCGAGGAGAAGCCAGAGGCCCACTGCCACCTACTGGTGAGCGGTGTGGGGTGACTCCCAGGGCCAAGGGCCAGTCCCGGGTGACTGCTCTGAGACCTCTTTTCTCTTTCTCAGTGCCATCACTGATGGCATCCCTGAGCCTTCTGAGGGGACTGTCAGCGTGGCTCTGAGGCTGGAACGCGTGGATGGCATTGACCTTGTGAGTCAGAGGAGAGGAGCTCTTTCAGGTTTTGCCTTACAGAGGGGCCTGTCCTGTGCACATGGGGTGGCTAGGTCCCCTGTCCTAAGTCAGCTGGCAGCAGGGGGGCTCGATGGGGCTCCCAGGTGTGTGCTAAGTCATTCTTGGCCGGTTCCCTAGGCAGTCCCAGTGGCATCCCCATCTCGAAAGGACATCCTAGAAGGTGTCAAGAGGACCTTCAGCCATTTTCATGTGATGGCCACAGGCTGTGGCTGTGCCCTGGTCCAGCTGCAGCCACTGACAGGTGGGTCTGCTGGGAAGATGAAGCCTGTGAGGGAGACGGAGCTTGGCAACAGGCAGAGAGCATCTGGAGGACCCCAAGGGTGTGTGGGCGGGCTCAGTGGGAGGCAGCACTTCTCGGTGCACACCCACAGTCTAGCATCCAGGGGCTTCCGCTCTGTAGGGTTGACTCCCCAGGTGTGGTGGGATGCCAGCTGTCACTGTCCTGATCTGCTCATGGGCCTCTCTCTGAAGGCAGAGGTCACCTCAGATTCATAGGCTCTGGGAACGAGGACAGTCCTTCCTGGTCAGGAAGAACAGCTGGCTCCTCACCCATCTTTCAGTGTTTCCCAGTCAACTGCAGGTGCACATGGCTCTGCAGCTCTGCCCGGTGCTTGGGGACCACACCTATGCTGCTCGAGTGGGCACTGTTCTGGGCCAGCGCTTTCTGTGGCCAGCCACGACCACCAAACCCCAGACACAGGTAGGTCCTCAGGCCCCTATGCCTGCTCCATTGGGGGACGGGGGGGGGGGGGGACTGGCTTGTCTTCTGTGTCCCTGTGGAGCTGTGTGGCTCAGACAGTGCCATACTCCCTCAGGCTTCCTTCTGTCCATGAGCCCAGCAAGGGGGTAGCTGATCTCTAACAGGCCCTGAAGTCCACCATCCTGGGTTTTTCTGTATCACTTCTTCTTTGGGTTAAGTCCAGTGAATGGGCGTGCAGTAGGAGTGGGCTTGGCTCTAGGCAGCCACTTGGAGACAAGGACTGTTGCTTTCTGGCCAGAGGGGGAGATGAAGTTTTTGTGGACCAGGTCTGTGTACTTTTCCTCACATCCCGTTGACCAGAGGCTCAAGCATATGGCTTCAGTAAACACAAAAGAGGCTGAAATGTAATTTAGCTCTGTGCCTGACTGTAGAGAAAATGACTGCACTTGCAGTAGACCAGGGAGGCCCATCAGGACTGGGTGCTCCTCACTGCAGACCAGGGAGACCCATCGGAGCTGGGTGCTCCTCACTGTAGGTCAGGGAGGCCCATTAGAGCTGTGTGCTCCTCACTGCAGACCAGGGAGGACCATCAGAGCTGGGTGCTCCTCACTGTAGGTCAGGGAGGCCCATCAGACCTGGGTTCTCCTTGCTGTAGGACAGGGAGACCCATCAGAGCTGGTGCTCCTCACTGTAGGTCAGGAAAGCCCATCAGACCTGGGTGCTCCTCACTGTAGGTCAGGGAGGCCCATCAGACCTGGGTTCTCCTTGCTGTAGGACAGGGAGACCCATCAGAGCTGGTGCTCCTCACTGTAGGTCAGGAAAGCCCATCAGACCTGGGTGCTCCTCACTGTAGGTCAGGGAGACCCATCAGGGCTGGGTGCTCCTCACTGTAGGTCAGGGAGACCCATCAGAGCTGGGTTCTCCTCACTGCAGACCAGGGAGACCCATCAGGGCTGGGTGCTCCTCTGGCTGGAGCTCAATGGGCTGCTGTCTTTCCCACCCCAGGTCCTGGATGAAGCTCTCCTCAAACGCCTCCGCCTGAGTCCTTCCCAGGTGGCCCAGATGCCCTTGCACCTGCACCTGCAGCGCCTCCTCCTCCCAGGCACCAGATCCAGGGACCCTCCCAGTGAACTTCTGGCGCCCGTGCCCTCTTACTTCTCTCGGACCCTGCAGTGCCTGCGGCTCTCCCAAAAATAGACAACGTTTGACCCCCAATCAGAAAATGGAAAGAGGAAGGGCTGTGACCCACGTCATGGACAATGGGGTTGGTGCTGAGCACAGCCAAGGTCCTTAGTCAGCCAATCTAAGATCGGTGTGGGGTTGGGCAGTTGACTTTCCTCTGGACTTAAAATAATAAAAGTCCTACCTCATAAGCCTGCTTTTGAAGATTTACTGAGAAAGCAAATGTTAATCAGGGACTGTGCTCTGCTCAAGTGAACAGCGGCCAGGTCTGGAGGCGGCATCTGCCCTACTCCCAGCCTTTCTGTGTATCCCTGGCTGGACTGGAGCTCAGAGATCCACCTGCCTCTGCCTCCCAAGTGCTGGAGGACAGGCATGCACCACTGTATCTGCATGAGCTCTCCCAACTTTGATTTCAACACCCCGCTCCCATCCCCAACCTGCCCAGGACAGTCACAGGCTACAGATAGTGCTGGCAGCTAACGCTCTGCAGGTAGGAAAGGCCACATTTTGTTTCTTACGGCTTGACCAGCCTCTCACTGAGGGAAAGACTAGACCTACTCTCTGGAGAAGGGCTGAGGTTTAGGGGAAGCCCATCTCTTGTCAGAATGTTCTGTGCCCATAAGAAACTATTCTGCCAGCCCAGTTTGCATTTGGAAAGGGGCACTTCCTGATGGCTGGCTTTCCGCCTGCTATGGTCTCCTTGTTCAGACTCAGTTTCCTCATCTGTATAGCGAAGGCTCTTCCCCCACCACCCCAATCTTCCTGCAGAGAAAGCTGATGTCTGTTATTGGATAGGGACTGTGGCCCTTGCTGGTGCAGGCCCTGCTGGTCAGCTCCTGTTATGAGCCTTGTCTTCACATTATTCAAGCCAAGCCTGAAGAACTTTACTTGGTTTTTTTTTTTTTTTTTTAATATGATTCTGGATCCAGGATGGGGCAGTGGAGATCAGAACAGGGGTTTCTCTATCCTTATAGCCCCCCTGGTCCACAGTGTCCGGGATGTCAAAATAAGGGTCAAGGGTTTGGGGAAGCTCAGTCTCTTCTCAGGGTATGCCTCAGCCCTGGGTTTGTCGCAGAGTCTGGCCTTGAACTTGCCTTTGGCTTTGACTTTCCTGTGGGTGCTAGGAAGAGGTCCAGCTTCAAAGGGCAGAGGCCACGAGGCACTTCCAAAGTGGGGGCCTCGAAGGTGCAGGGGAATAGCAGCCTCGGTGTAAAGGAGGGGAGGGAGAGAGATGATCAGGCCTCTGCCCCCTGTCTGTGCCCTTCAGCCCCGACCCCACTGCTCAGCACTACCCGCCAGGGTATGAGGTGCAGCTCAAAGCCCACCTTTCCCGGTTTCAGCATGCTGGGTGCCAGCTTGAGGTCAGGGTGAGGTGGGAAGGACATCAGAACCTTGGCAGTGGGTAGAGTCATCAAGGCCTTGCCTGTGGTTGACAGAGCCGTAGAGCCCACCAGCCGGCCACGTTGCAGTCTGAGGACCCGGCCCTGGGGTCGGAGCACGCAGGGAGAAGGCAGCCAGGCCTTGGAATGGAGACTAGGGAAGTAGGAAGGGGCTGTGGGAGAAGGGAAGCTGTGAGGGTCTGGGTAAGGCCCCAGAGCCTGACCAGTTTTTCCACAGGGTATGTGGAGAGGTGGGGGCGGGAGGTGAGGGCAGAGGAGCCCCTCCCAGCTCCTCCAGAGGCAGTGGGAAGAACACGGGGTTGGGGAACCAACAGACCTGGGTCTGCATCCCAGCTCTGCCCCTTCTGAGCTGTGCAACCTCAGGCAACGTCCTTAAACTTCCTGCTACCTCGGCTGGAAAATGGGGACAATAGCGCCTACCTCACTAGGGTGTTGTGAGGGCTGAGGGGGCTGGTTAGGGATCGGGAAGGGCACGGTAGCAGCACCTTTCCCCAGAGAGGAGGGAGGGCTGAGTCTGGCCAGAGCACAGCAGGGGTCTGGACTCCAGGGACGCGCACTCGAGGACCAAGCCGGGGCCGTACTCTGGTCTAACTGCCTGGCAGGGTGACTACTTTGGAACACTCATTTAGTTGTATATTTAACGACATTTGGTGAGCAGTGTTGGTACTTGCTATCACTGGCGGCCTTTGGGCATGAGGGCAAGCCCAGACGCTTGGGAAGCGCTTGGAGAGCCGGTGGGAATGGCCTTGGGAGCTCTAGGGCACTTGGGGAACGTTGTATTACCCCAGGCCTCAGGTTGTTTCAGACACAGTGACCTGTTGAAAATGTGGCCCACCCTGGTGTTTGAGGGCTCCCAGTCCTGGAGGGTGAGGCAGACCAGGGCTGTGGCACTTTTTGCCTTGCCTTTCTTCCCCTTTCCAGAGACGGAAGTGGCGGCAGCCGAGTCTGGCTTCTCAGGGTGTCCCAGGCTTCTGGCTCCAGTGTCTTTCCTAGAAGCTGACCTGTGGGTAGGGGACCCTGAGTCCTTGCCTTCCCCAGAGCCTTGCTGGGTCAGCAGATGAGGGAGTGATGAGCGGACTCCTGAGCGCCGATGGCCCACTGCCATGGGCTTCTTGATGGTAGACCCCTCCACCAGGAGCCGGATACCCACGTACTGGGGCACCTCCACAGCAGGCTATGGGCAGGAGAGAAAACAAGGCCATCGCAGACACTAGTGAGAGATGGCAGGACACCATCTAGTGACACAAGGCAGAGATGGACGGAATCAGTTTCTGGGGTATCTGGTCAAGAGGCACTTCTGAGAAACAGGAAGCTCCTTCTGTTCTCAAGGGGTCCAGAGAACCTAGACTCACAGAGCCCCAGGGGGCAGGAAACCAGAGAAGCAGAGATCTTAGCCGTGCAGACAAAGCAGTCAATCCCATTGCACACTAAGGTGACCTCTGGCCTGTGTCAGAATGAAAGCTGGTTCCTGCCGTGGGCAACCAGAGGCAGACGGGATTGAGCCATGGTTTTCTGTGTGGATGTAATTCCCATCATGAATACTGAGAAGAGGGATGGGGCTAGAGAGATGGCTCAGAAGTTATTAGCACTGACTGCTCTTCCAGAGGACCCAGATTCAATTCCCAGAATTCACACGGCAGCTCACAATTGTCTGTGACTCCAGCCACACCCACACAGACACACATGCATGCAAAACACCAATGCACAGAGAAAATTGTTTTTTAAAAAAGAGGGAGGTAAGCCGGGCGGTGGTGGCACACGCCTTTAATCCCAGCACTCGGGAGGCAGAGGCAGGCGGATCTCTGGGAGTTCAAGGCCAGCCTGGTCTACAAGAGCTAGTTCCAGGACAGGCACCAAAGCTACAGAGAAACCCTGTCTCAACCAAAAAAAAAAAAAAAAAAAAAAAAAAGAGGGAGGTACAGTGACTCCTCCCTGGTAGGGTCTCTGAGGTTGGATAGGGGCTTCAGGATCGACTCTACCTGAATCCTAGTGGCTTTCTAATAAAAGGGCAAGTTATAGGTGGTTGTGAGCTGCCTGATGTGGGTACTAGGACCTGAACTTGGGACCTCTACAAGAGCATCAATTGCTCTTAACTGCTGACCCATCTCTCCAGCCCCAACCTGTTTTCTTTGTAACTTACACTGTCTATGGTATTATGTTATTAGCAACAGAAATGAATAGATACACGAAGTAATAAATTTTGGGGGGGGACAGTGTTGAGATGGCTTAGTGAGTTAAGGTACTTGCTGAGTTCAAGCCTCAGGACCCATGGGGTAGGAGCCGAGAAGGGGCTCCCACAAGTCGGCCTCTGACTTCCACACCTGTGCTGTGTGGTATGTGTGACCACACCCATACACAAACACAATAAATATAAACAAAAATTTAACAAGCTGCAAATGGGTGGGCGTGGCTTCTAATAGAGGTCTCTCCTGGCAGCCACCTCAGTCCAAGGTCAAATTTGGCATCAGGAACTAGAAGATCTGCTGGGTGTGCCTTGTGACAGTTCCGTGATGTACCCAGCACCACCTAAGTGTTTTTTGCCAAATGTCTCTACCCTGAACCTCATCAGCTTGTTAACCTATCTTCTAGTTTACAGGACAGAGAACAGACTGAGCTGAACAACACTAGGGGACAAGCAGATAAAGGAGAATGTGGGACAGTGCTACAGCCGGCCTGTAGGATCAGGATGCGGAGCTGTCCTAGATAAAGCAATCAGAGAGACAAAGCCACTAGTGTAGCTACCTTAGTTGCACAATGGCCCTCAAACTCAAAAACAGATCAGCAATAAAAGATACCTGGGGGACAAGGGACATTTGAAAAGTGCGAATGCCCAGGCATTCAGTTTTGTTGTGAGACAAGGTTTCATGCAGCCCAGGTTGGCCTCAAGCTCACTGTACAGCCAGGATAACTGTGAACTCCTGCTCCTCCTGCCGCTGCCTCCTGAACGCAGGGGTTACAGGTGTGTGTTACCATGCCCGTACAAATTTTGCTCCAGTTTAAACTGCAGATTACTTCCTCTTTCCCATTTTCTCCCCTCTCTTCTAAGACTACATTGTTGTGACAGATTCTCATTATAAAGCCCTAGCTGACCTGACATTTGCTAAGTAAATCAGGCAGGCTGTGAACTTGTGACAGTCCTGCCTCTGTTGCCCAAATGCTGGGATTGCAGGTATATGTGGATACCTGCTTATATGGCCTCCTTTACCCGAAAGTGTAGCTCAGTGGTACTGCACATGCCAAGCATGCAGGCATGGATTCCGTCCCTAGTGATGGCATCCCTAACAAAAACTGAAGCTTGTTGATCAGGAACTGTAAGAAACACGGGGCCACCCAGGTCATGTGGTCAGTGTTTTCCCTTCCTGTGGCTAACCTAGACTTTAGTGGATCCTAGCTGGAAGACTCCTGCTTATAAATAGTTCTCAGAATTCAGAAACCCTTAAAAACATCCTTTCAAAGCTTTGTATGGTTGTTTTTAAGTTGGGTCTCACTCTGAATACCAGGCTAGCCTGGAACTCACTGTGTAACCCAAGCTTCCCTTGAACTGAAAGTGATCCCTGTCTCGGCCTTCCGAATACTAGGGGGTGGAAGGTTGAAGCCCCATATCCTGCTGTGATGGCTCACCTAAGCTGTCAGCTTGACTGGACTGAGACAACCTAGGCCCCTGGTGGGCCCTCAAGGGTGTTTCTAGAGAGAATTAGACCAAGAGGGCTTTGACCTTATAAATGACTTCACCCATTGGTGGGTTCAGATTCTGATAAACTGCTGGGAGATTGCAGCTCCGTGGAGAGTGG